CCCCCCCCCCCCCGCCAAACTCCTGAGCCTCAATATTTGTTTCCCCCACGTCTTGGCAGACACAGGAGCCAAGAAGAAGTTCGTGGCCGTACTATCCTCAGGAGCAGACGACTCCGCGGCCGAGGAAGGTTTCGACGATGATTCATTGGATGATATTAAGCGGGTCACGGGGTCTGGGGGAGGCAAGGGTGGTGAGGGGGGACAAGCCGAGCCGGTGAGCGCGAAGTTGTCTGCGGCATCGCCTGCGCGATACAGCTCGACCGAGGGTGACGCTGGAAAGCCGCCCACGGTTAGCTCTCCGGCACCGGCAGCGGCGGCAGCGGGCAGCCCTTTAGAAGCCGAGCAAGAGCAGGAGGGGCAGGAGCAGGAGCAAGAGAAAGGGGAGGAGGGGCAGGAGACGCAGGAGCAAGAGAAAGAGGAGGAGGGGCAGGAGACGCAGGAGGAGCAGGAACAGGAAAAAGAGCTCAGCACGGAAGAAGAGGGCGACGACGCCACGTCGGAGAATGCAAGCGAAGACGACGAAGACGAAGACCACGACGATCACCACTACGACGACGAGGACAGATACGGCTACACGAACGGGGCGTCGTACGGCAGCCCCGAGGCGAGCAGCCAGGTGCGCAGTGCTCGACTCAATACGCAAACCCTGTGCTTCTAGCAGGTTATTGTTGTTGCCCCGTCCAGGCCGATTGCCGCGTAGACAACCTCCTCCAGTGCTTCCGTTCGATCACGGTTAAAGTTGCCCTTGTTGACTGTTTGTTTCATGTACCTCTACCACCCAGACCTTATACCGCGCTTTTATTGGAGTGAGGGTCGTCGTTGGCCCTTGGACCGGTGCGCGTAGTCCACGACATTTTGACTTGATTTTGTTTTTTTTATCCTTTGCCATGCCGCCGCGCTCCACGCTCGAATGTCGCGCCCACTTCGAACTACAATCACTCACCACGAATTGACGCCGCCGTTCGCCCCCGACCCCACCGACATCGCCGCCACTTGTCTCGACTGGCGGCGCGATTGGTTCTCTCGCCAAATCAGACGAGCCGCTCGCTGGAAGACTTCGACAGGGCCCAGCGCGAGATCGCCGAAAAAATGAAGAACCTCGGGCTGTAGCAGGGGGCAGACGGACAATAACAAGAGATCCCGGGGGGGGGAGGGAGCGCCACTGATAGATTTTTGAGCAGGAAGAGAGGGAGAGGGAAGATGCTGCTGCCGTGTGTCGGGTTTTGGTATAATATGGTTGGTTGCAGTTTTGGCCGGGTTCAGTGTCCGGTTGTTCTCTTTTTTGAGTAGGAGGGAAAGTTTTGTTTTTTCCTCCCGGTCTTGATTTTCGTGCTACCCACTGCTGTGCCGAGGTTCCGTGTGGGTCGGGTAGGTAGTCGAGGGGGTGACGTGGCGATGGTGGTGGTGGTGGTTGTGGTGGGGGGATAGAGACGTCCCCGGAGTGGGGAGCATTCGATTCAGAATGGGGGCTCAGTGTTTCATTCGGACTGGGGTGCACGTACCGACCAGAATGAGGGGAGGGAATGGATTCCGTGTATTGTGCGTGGCGACGTGTTCGAACCACGGGCGTTGTCAGCGTCTGTTACGTGGCAGGAACTTCACTATCAATATCGAGCTCTGGATGTAATTTTTTTATGTTTGGCTGGCAAGCGGTATGGCGCTTGACCCAAGGCGCTACCAGGAGCGTTTTTTGCTCTAGTCGTTTGTTGCTTTGCTGCTGCTGACGCAGCTGCCGCCTCAGCCGCAGTAGTGAGAGTCGCTGGATCTATGTGAACGGCATCGGATGTTTGTTATGCCCACCTTGGAACCGATTAGCCTCTGTTTCTAGAAACCCGAGCTATGACACTTGGTGGGTGTTTGCGCACGGATACACACTACCATTACACTGTCCACGTCTGTGTTTGTCTTCGGCCTTCGGTAGGCATGGAAAGGGTGTATAGGCCGGACGGCCGTAGGTTGGGGTGGGGATCGCGACTTGGTCCCAGTGTTCAGTTTTAGTGATTTTCTGTGTTTTTATCGTTCAACGTTCTTTCTCGGCTGGCTTGGCAGTGGCTGTGCGTGTCGCTTTTTTCCAGGCTCTGCAGGGGCGTTTCGCTGTTGCAAGGAGGTTGGTTTGGGGTGTGCTTCTCCTGTTTCGGAGGCTGAGCGAGACTTGAACGAGAGGAGGAAGGGGGGGAAAGAGAGACAGAGTAGGGTGGAAAGGAGAAATCAGAGAGTGACTGCCCCCCACCCCGTCTTGATTGGTACCATGTTGCTTTCTTTCGTAACTGGTAGCATGACGGAAGCGCTGTGGCCTGTCAGAAGACATGAGCCACCTTGTTCGGCACAAGACCCCAACAGCATTATTGCCTTGTTTGGTGGGGCGTGGTTGGCGAGAGTGCGGTGAGGGAGAGAACGTGTCTGTCGGGCTACGAAATGATGCTACCCAACGGTAGAGTGGTGGTTTGTGAACGCTTGAAGAGGAGGAGGAGGAGGAGGAGGAGGAGGAGGAGGAGGAGGAGGTGCAAAATATGCTCCAGGAAATACTAGATTGCTCCATGTTTGTTTCGGTGCCCGCCTGCATATTTAATAGCTTCTTGGTGTTGTTCCCTTCGTTTTTGTGTCACGTCGCAGCTATCTTGCTATTTTGTTTTGGAGGCGCGCCCTCCTTTTCCTAACGGTTCCTCGGTTTTACTTAAAAGCTGTGCAGTTTGTTTGGCACTCTCCGCGCGGCAGCGTCCACGTGCAGCTCGCGGAGAGGAAGTACGTTGTCGCGGAGGGCAGGATGATTTTTCGCGGTCGCTGTGTGACGACGCCGGCAGCACCGGGGGTGTCGTGGATGCAGGGGTGGGGGGAGTAGGGCACGCGGGGGTATTGTTGTAGACCCTTTTGCGCCTGCCATGTCTTGTTGTCTTTTGCCGCGGCCAGGCCTGTTTTTTTTTTTTCTCTTTTGTGTGTTTTTTGGTAGCGCGTAAAAACGATGCACTGCGTGGAGCAGGTTGACGCTCAGAGAGTTCCAACGAACCGCAACAGTAGTGGTTCGGCGGGCAAGTCTCGCCGCGTTGTTGGCGACAAGATGTTTTTGTGTTGTGAAATAGGCAACGGACGTCGAGTGCTGTTTTCTTGCTGGTCGTTGGACTGCAATCGATTCTGTCTACAAGTGGAAAGCGCTGTGTATCAGTGTACCTCCCATATCGCACGCAAGGTTTGGTACATGGTTGCGCTGGGAAGGGCCGCTTTGACCAGGGGGGGGGGGCGCGTTCGCCTTCGAATTCCATGCAACCCGGCGGCGTGTGTAGGGGTGTGAAAAACCTTGATTACATAGCAAACATCAGCTGTCACCTCGATATCGCAACGAAGTACATCACGGTCCAATTGTTTGCGGTGGGTTATTGGTGGAAGCGTCTGCTGTACTGAGGCATCCAACATATGTTCAAGACGAGTAAGTGGGCGGTGTGGGGACTAAATAGTGAGCAGATATGTGAAGTCTTCCCCTGGTCGTGGACCAACACTCGTACAACTCTTGCCGGCAATTTGGAAGACGGCGTCGAAACCGTAGAGGTGGACGGATATCCTGACCTTTCGAAAGAGGGGCATGCGTCCCCAAGGAGGCTTACTGCCTTGGCCTGCCGAACCCAGCCTTTGGCCCCAACCGCACTGTGAGCGTGTCGCGGTTGGTGCCGCCTTTCTCCTTCACGACTGCCCCCACTATCGCCATCATCTCCACCTCTGTCCCGGGAAAAGAAATATCTCCCATTTTCCCCTACAGCGTGGGCCCGCAGTTGAGAAAAATGCCGTTCATCAAAAAGGCTAAAATGTCCACGAAAAAAAAGGGTGGGGGGGCTATGAAACACAGCTCAACCGAGTTGTCTACACTAAAATACGCCCCAACTGTATCAAAACCTGTACACGACGTTGGCGACGGACTAAGAAATTGAGCCTCGATCGCGTTTCTTATCTCCGGGTCCCTTGCCAACTCACGACCAACCGTTACGTTCACTTCTTTTTATCTGCCAGCGACGATGCTACCGTCTATAGCGGAGCAAGTTGTTGCGCGAGTCTTGCACGCTCGTGGTGCGCTGTTTCTGGGCCCAGGCGACGAAGCGGCCGATCGTTTCGTCCGCCAGCAGCTCTTCCACCGTGGTGAAGCGCTCCGCCAGGGCCAGGGCGTCGTGCGCGCGGTGGACGGCGCTGTGGCAGGGGCGGCAGATGGCGATGGTGCGGTTAAGGACCGCGTCGGTGTAACCCTTCTTTCGGTAGCGCTTGTGGGTGCTCCTGGTGTATCGTGTCGCCGCGTATGGGTTTTTCACGCAAGTACAAGAAGATGTCAGCGTGTTTGAAGTTGGGGGGGCGGGTTGCTGTGGGTGCGATGATTGTGTACACGCTGTTGCGTGGAACACTGGAGCGACAAATGGTGTACAGAACTGAAGCGTGAGGGTACTGCCGGAGCAAGGAGACACCAACCCGGTGGCAGAGTGGTTGACCGCCGGCGGCTGGCGATTTTACCCGCTGTGCCTACAGCATTTGCATCCGAGGGCATTGGGACGGTGGAGGTGCACGAGGAGAGTGGTGGCAGCACGTCCAGCAGCTGTACGATGCTACGCGTACCCGTGCGGTGACCACTATCAGCATTCGACCAGGAAATGTTTTCTAACCAACACACACACGCGCGCCAGGCTCCACTACTTTATCGAACACAAGTGGTTGGCTGGCAAAGGTGGGGGAGCGCTCGACGGCTACGCTCTACAACACTGGGATAATTCCCCAACGGAGCAAGAAAACGACAACAAAGTACCGTTTGGTGGCTGCGGTTGATCTGCGGATTACTCACTTTGGCATAACGTGGTGGCGGGTCAGCGGCATGAGCCTCTCGCACAGCGAACAGCATCCTGGTTCGGACACGCTGTCGTCTTCTCCGCTACCTCTGCCTTTCTCTTCTGGGTTCGAAGGGGCTAGCGGGAAATGCTTCAACGCATCTCTGCGGGTACAAGCGAATGGGTTTGACAAGGTCGTCCGGAAAACCCAAGAGGACGCCAGAGATGTGTCAAAACGTGATGGCGTGTCTTTTGGATGCTGTCTACCGCTCCAGTCGGCTCACCAATACAAGTACTTCAGTCTTAATCGCAGGACCAACACGCAAGCACACTCTGTGCGGGTTGGTTGTTGACTCGTCGAATTCGTGTTGAAAATACACAGAAACCGCTCAGTCACACTCGGGAGGTTTGACGTACCACGGAGGGCTCTGAAAGCCCTTGGGTGTCTCCCCGCTAAATGCGGCGTGTGCATAACCTTTTGGCATCATCCATGTGTGTTCATGCAATCATGTGCTTGCTGGTACACTGAAGGTCGGATGAGCTGCGACGTTTTCGTTTGTGACTCAATTACGACAAATGTACATATTTCAATGCTGCTCCCCAATCTCAACTTTGCGTCCATGGGAGGGGATTTTGGTGGGAAACGGGTCACACAAAAAAGTCAAGGCAGATACTATCCCGAACTGGCCCAGCGTCAAACCGACGCAGTCATGATCCTTCTACTGTTTTATTGTTTAGATCAGATATAAAGTCTGGCACATAATCCATTAGACTACTAAGTCGGCGCTGACTGAGCAGTCAAATGAATCAGCCTTTGTCTGACATGTTTACCTACTAGCTAAAAGAACATTACTCGAGTTTTAGCAGGGATGTGCCTACGGTGGACTAGTCTATTAGAAGGCAACTGCAATAAATAGGCTGCCGTTGTCAAGGCGTTCCGCACGTACCTCAAGACATCCGCGTACAGCTCCACCACCTCCTCCTTCTGCTCAGACGACAGGGAAGACGGCGAGCTTTTGCTACTCGCAGCACAAGCAATATCGGGAAGGTAGTCGTCGAACTCACGACCCACCGCCGCGGTGTCAATCAGCTTTCCCTCCTCGGCGCTGTCGAGAAGGGCCGATACCAGCACCTCCCCGTCGTCACCTGCCACATCCGCTCCGAGGTGAAAACCGAGGGTTCTCCTAAGGGCCGTTTCGAGAGCCTCTCGTCTTCCAGCGGTCATCGCTCGATTGACCACGATGATATGTTCGTCACGTGCAGCGTGGATGATGTGCGTCCCTTACTTGGCATCGACTGCCGTAACGGGGCAGACGTGATGTCTCTCTGCTGAAAGGTGTTGTCCTGCACTGACTGGCGCAGCCAGCAGCGGCAAGGCTGGTGGTACAGAACGGCGAGGGTTTCCTTCACGCTGGTACGATAAGAACGAGACAAGATTTCGTAACTTGGCAGAGTGCAGTCTTGTGCTGTTGTGTGAGCCCGTATCCCGTAACCCTCCCCTCCGGCAGGCCGGCAGAAGTAAAAGCAGGTAAGCAGGTGCAACCAGCCAAACGCGGCGGAATCACGTGCTGGTGCATTGGGCCGAAAAGGTACACACGGGGTTTCAGCCTGCGGCGAAACCCGCCCCGTTCGGTCCTCGGCAGCACAAGTGCTGCTGCAAACATCGCTCACCTCATCTGTCCTCGCGTTAGTCCTACCTAATAGCAAGGTACAGCAAGCACGCTGTCCCACATCATGTAAGAGAACCGGAAAGACATACACATTCCGAAATCGTGTAGTATAGCTTCGCAGAGTTGAGGGGTGACAATGAAACCGGTTGAATCGTTTGCGTCCGCAGGCTGTCCGCGATGATTATTGACAACGGTAAGAGATTCTGTAGTAGATACTGCTGTACATCGTAGGACTCTTATACCTCTCTCTGCTCTGTATCTTGCGAGCGGTCACCCGGTACAGATCTTCCTGTGATTGTACATTCCGCAAGAGTGCGAGAGACGGCACCGTGGAGTGCAAGAATAGGAATAGCCTAGACTACATGGCAATGCACGTACCGTAGGCCGATCGGTATGTCCAAGCGGGGTCGTTGAGGTCGCACAGATTAATTAGTGTCCCCGAGATTCACACAATAGGCCGCGGGCAACTTATTTAGTTCACATATTGCTTCGTCAAAAGTGCCCACGACACAAGCGGGCTCATCGTTCATGTTGCCTTCAGAGGGTAGCATGTGTCCATCACACAGGAACACGACCGACCATGTTACGCAGCAGGCGTTTCGAAACGTTGTACTGGTACAATGTCTACTGCACAGAAGTACAGTACAGTGGGGGGGCCGGTTTAGCGACCCCCTGTTTAGCGGCATGCCCTGTTTAGCGACTCCCAAATCTCGTGACATCACTGCACCCCGGTTCAGCGATGGTCGCTAAACCGATCGAAGCTTCAATAGCGACTTATCGGACTGTTTTCATCAGGCAATACCGACCATCGTTTCAATTTTTGCGGAGACCCCATGTTCCTCCACACCCAAAGACACGACATCGCGGGACACGTATACACACGCAACATGCCGTGCGCCGATGGGAGAGTTGTGCAAACAGCCGAATGTTCAACTGCGGGCACCCCAGGGGCATGTGTGCCATGGTGGCTGCGGTGGACGCCTGCACCGAATGTTGTTGTTGTTGTTGTTTCTCACATTAGCTCCATAGTCCACAAAAAATGGGGAGCCCGTGGTCTCAACACCGGGCACATACAACGCCGCGGGGAAACAAAACAAAAAAAGGGTACAAACCACTCGGAAAAAGAAAACAAAATGATAGAAAGAAAAGAACAGGTATCGCACCGACCGTCCGAGAAAAGAGCCCTCGGAAACCGATCAAAAAAAGACAAAAACAAAAATAAAGGAGGACGCTTCCCACACCCGCCCAAAGAAAAAATCAAAGGGTAACGTACCAGCACCAGGCACTGCGCACCAGGGCATGGGAGTAACAGAGCAAACAGGACAAAGAGGCGGCAGATGGGCAGACAGCCAGACGTACAAAAACAACGGCAACAGCAAAGCGAGATCAAGGTACCCAACACAGCAGAGTAGGCAGGGAGGTCATGAAAAAAAGAAACACAGCACAGGGGCCGAAGGGAATAAAAAGGACATACATAAAGGAGTATTGCATACAGCAGGGAGGGAAACAGGGCGCAACAACATCAGCCGGGTACAT